CCTAATTTTGGAGAGGAGGCACAGAAGTGAAGTAACTTGTGGAACTGCAGCCTGTGCGGAGAGGGGCAGCTCCGGAGACCGGGCTCACTCTCCACAGCCCTTAGGCACAAACAGGAGATCTCAGGCTGGGGTATCAGGGGGCACCAAAGGGGGTCTGAAAACAGAATTGGTGGGAAGTCTGCACAAAGAGCGACCCTCAATCTCCGTCCCCGTTGTACTCAGGCAGGCAAGCGCCCCTCTGCTCCCAGGCAGAAGGCCATCGGTTCCTTCTCTGGAGGCTTCACCCAGTCGAGGCTGGAGTCAAACCTCACCGTGACCCTCTTCTCCTGAAGGCTCCACACACTAAAAATACCCTGGCCACCTGCTGCCCAGGGAGGCAGTCAATCACCGGCCTCCCAGCACCAGAATCTGGGTCAGGCGTGGCCTAACGGGGCAACAGACACCGACCCATGAGTTGAGTCCCCTTCTCACCCAGGCAGCTGGCAATGGCCTGCCTCCCGCTTGAGCTTCTGGGCGGGGAAAGGGTGCCCAGGGGAAGCAGGCTCACCGTGCAGGCTCTGGGGCCAAAAGTGTTAACAAGGTGGCTAGAAGGGAATGTGTCACTGGAGGGGGACTCTGGGGAAAGGCCAGTGGCTCCTGTGGTGATGACAGCCAGAACCGCTTTATTATGAATATATATTAATAGAATAAGGTCATCCCATCAAAATCCACGTATCAGCCACCCGACTGCTGTCCTATTGCCTCAGGGCCACCAGATGTCACTGTTATAGGGAACATGCATATGTGTAGCAGTACCTCAGGACAGGGACTGCATTTATGGAGAGATCCATTTAAACCCTGGGTGCTCAAAGGCTGTCTCGTGAAATCTGTTTCCTGCTTCCAGTTCTTGCTAATTAGGTGCCGCCACCAGTGGCTGAAATCAGTCTGACTCTTAAAACACAATGAAAAATGCTAAAGATCTGCTCACCTTCACTCCCAACACAATACCATGAATCAGAAATAAGAGGCAAAGACAGAATTTTCGATTTATGTTTCATTGGAATGTATCATCTACACACTACTGTGGAGAACATGAAGCAGCATGTAGTAGTGTTGCTCAAATTTGCAAATACAGGAACCCCTGAGAGCACACCCTTCGTTTGCCGCCTCTGCCCCTGGAAAAACCACTGCATTACAGGTAACGGCTGTAACTTGGCCACTCGGTCCAACCCAGTGAAAAATACAAACAGGACCATTCATAGACACAAAATCAAACAATGAAATTGAATGGCTACTCAATTATAATGAATAAACCCAGAAGGTCAGACATGTGCTTAGGTTGATTTTTTTAGAGCATGAAAAAAATCCCCCAAACTGAATAATTTTCACAATGTCTAGGCTCCTGGGAAAATGTCTAATGCTCAATTTGAGACTCGCTGTTGGAATGGAAACACCTAGTTTTAAGTGAACTGGGTCCCAGCTCACTGGTCTGACCCCCGTGTGCCTCAATGTCCTTGTATATAAACACAACGTTTCCAAGATGCCTTTAAGCAATGTAAGATTCCAGGATTCTACTTGTGGCTGAGAGAGGCTCCTGTGCAGCTGGGAACATGGAATACACCAAAATGACAATGGAATGCCATCGGGGGCACTTTAGTGACACAGATGAGGCCTTTGAGAATTCGGAGTTCCTTCCTCCTGACTTTTAGGAGGCTGAGGAAGACTTCTGGATGAGAAGGGATTAAACACCCAGGACGGAATGCTACATCATGATCAACATACCTGATCTGCTCTGTAAGAGCTGGGAGGTAATCGATCAAATATTTTAAGATGTCAACTTGACCTGTACCAATACAGTCCTCTAAGGAAACTGGTTTCCAAAAACAAGTGATAACTGCTACCTCTCCACATCTTTAAGCACTTTTTTTTTTTTTTGAGACAGAGTCTCGCTTTGTTGCCCAGGCTAGAGTGCCATGGAGTCAGCCTAGCTCACAGCAACCTCAAACTCCTGGGCTCAAGCAATCTTGATGCCTCAGCCTCCCGAGTAGCTGGGACTACAGGCATGCGCCACCATGCCTGGCTAATTTTTTCTATATATGTTAGTTGGCCAATTAATTTCTTTCTATTTATAGTAGAGACAGGGTCTCACTCTTGCTCAGGCTGGTTTCGAACTCCTGACCTCAAGCAATCCCCCCGCCTTGGCCTCCCAGAGTGCTAGGATAACAGGCGTGAGCCACCGCGCCTGGCCAGGCACATGGATTTTAATAGTAATTCTAAAATAAAGAAAAACAAGGATTCTTCTTTAAACTTTTTCATTTTGGTTTACATCAAGCTGTTCTTTGACAAAGTTTTCTTTCACTATTTTCATATTGAAATCCATAGACTTTTCTTGGAGCCCCAGTACTATTATAGTAAGTACTTCAGGAGTCGTAGAGATGACATAATTAAATACAAGGAACCTTCATCGTTTAGATGAAGATCCCAAGCAAAATTTCGACTTCAAAAAATAAATTGCAACTATCTATCACCTCCAAGTAGTTAGAGCTACTGAAGCTTAACGAGGGGAGCAACATTGAAGGTACTGCCTTATTTCATTGAATCTAAGATGCCATCAAGCATAGGATGTACTGTATTTCTGAAAGAAAAGATCACTGCCAACTAAATTATGACACACCAACTGTAATCCTAATTTTTACAAAATTAAAAAGTGTGGGTGTGTGGGGGGCCATCTTAAAATCAATGAAATATGGCATTCCCTATGTCAGCTTGGTCCTATTCACAGTGACCTGTGACTCCTTAACCGCCACATGGGGAGCCCAACCCTCCTTCCAATTCACTTAATTGTGAAAACATCAGATCTGTCCTTACTTGGCAGTTGAGCGCATCAGTACTCCAAGTCCCTGTCAGAGTCTATAATCCCCATTTCTCTCTCATTTAATACTCAGCAAAAACTCAATGGAGAGAAATCGTGTTTCCAGGACTGCCGGCAGGATCTGCAGCCCGTCCATTTGGCTCTACTGTGTTCCCTCTCGGACAGAGCCAGGCCAGCAGAGAGCAGAGCACTGCAAACACACGGGGTAATCCCCCGGGCACAGGCTTGCACGCTCTCCTGCCGCGCCCACGCTGGCCCTCGTCAGGGACAGCCCCAGTGGACAGGGACACAGAGTGGGTCTTCACGAGGACCTACTGTAGACGTTTCTCAGGCCTTCGTACCAAAAACAAAAATTTTTAAAATAAACTTTTAAAGTTCAAGTATAACATATATACCAAAAATTACCCAACTCACAAGTGTACAGCCAAATGTATTGTCACAAATTACGACTACCACCCAAATGAAAGGACAGAGCATTGCCGGCACCTCAGAAGCCCCTTCATGAGTTCTCCCCGCCACTACACCCACCTTCTTCCCCAAACGCAACCTCAATCCTGATTTCTAACACTATCGCTTACTTTGATCTGTTTCCGAACTTTACATAAATAGAATCATAGAATATGTATTCTTTTGGTCTGGCTTCTTTCATTTATCATTATGTCTGTGAAATTCATCCGTGCCGTTAGGAGTAGCAGTAGTTTGTTAATTTTCATTGCTGTAGAGTGGTCCACTGTATGTATATACAATTTGTTCATTTAGATTTGTTCCCAGTTTGGGGTTATTATGAATAATGCTGCCACTTTGGGCTGAATGTGGTGGCTCACGCCTGTAATCCTAGCACTCTGGGAGGCCAAGGAGGGAGAATTGCTTGAGCTCAGGAGTTTGAGACCAGCCTGAGCAAGAGCGAGACCCTGTCTCTACTAAAAATAGAAAATCAGCCAGGCATGGCGGCATGTGCCTGTAGTTGCAGCTACTCAGGAGGCCGAGGCAGGAGAATTGCTTGAGCCCAGGAGTTTGAGGTTGATGTGAGTTATGATGATGACATGGCACTCTAACTCAGGTGACAGAGTGAAACTCTGTCTCACCAAAAAAAAAAAAAAAATGCAGCCACTTCTGTGCACATATTAAGCATTTCCATGAGGTATACACACAGGATTCAGGTAGGTTACAGGGTATTGCTGAGTTCTAGGGTACAGGTGCTCGACTAAGCCTCTAGGGATGATTCCTGGATGACCAGAGAGTGGGCTTTTCCCAGGGAGGCACGACCAACAAGGCCCACAGACCTCTATCCATGATGTCTCTCAATACTAAGGGAGTTGAACACTTGCTTCACTAATGCTAAAACCCTCATGCTTTCACGGCCTTACTTGCTAGCACAAAACAGAAAAAAGAAAGAGAGGGGGGAAAAACAGTCAAAAATGGCCTCTATTTATTTAGCCTCTAAATCTCTCAGGTACCTCCGAAGAGTGAAATCAATTTGCCATCTGGGACTAGAGCATAAACCCTCTGCAGGGTAAGGAGGCAAACTGGGACACACTGAGCTATCTGAGCTACAACATCCACCACAACATACCAAGAGCAGGGTCTAGGTGCTAGGCACTGTCACAGATGTGCAAATGACACGTGTGAGTTTACACCCTATTAAGAAAGGCAAGTAGTGAACAAATGAACATGAATACCCGCTTCCCACCCATGCTCTCATCATCTCCCAGAACTGGTGTTTTCTGAAACACAGTGTGGTCCTCTCTCCTTCTTGATACTGAGGGTAAGTGTCAAATTGTTTCACTTTTCTCGATTTTGTAGAATGTTAGGGCGTGCATTTTGCATAGCAACTTTACATTCATCTTTATTTCTCATTCTTATTTTTCCCTGCATTCCCATTTCCTGATTTACTCTTTATCATAATGTACTATATGTTTCTGTAATGCATCTCAATTCTTCCCCTTTAAAAAAGGACAGACATAAATCAATCATCTATCTATGTGGGGACCCCGACATTTACCCGTGAGGAGTTGGCCCACTCACAAGTTCCTACTGCTATTATTTTTTGCTGGGTTCACAAATTTGAAAAAATACACATATGAAATAGAAGCATTCGTTTCATTTCTGGTTTCACATTGATAACCAAAAAAGACTGGTGAGAAGATTATAAAACGAACCAACATCATGTTTTTTAGGGTAAAAAATTAATATAATACTCTGTACAGTATTGCATGATAATTGGCTTTACTAAAGTAGAACAATTACTGCCAGCCACAAAAACATAACTCAGTGTGTTATTATCACAAGTTAAAATGTGTTCTCTTCCCTAGATTGCCATTCACTTGGAAAAAATGACAACAAAACAAACAATGAAAACCTGCCACCTTACAACCAATTTGAAGTAGGTTGTTCAGGAACAGCAATATAGAAGGAAAATGTAGACTGGAATGTATTACATTTTGGCCAAACAAAAAGTTTGATCCATTTTGGCTCATAAAGCAAGATAATAGTGTTTATGATTTTGAAAATTCACTGAAACTTTTTCCCTGAACTGGTTCCTTTCTGATGTATTTTCTTGAGTTCCACCCACGACTGCCACAGCAACAGTGCTGGGATCAGAACCCACACTCCGTTGAAAAATACCAGGTAGACCCAGCAGTAGAGCCAGTTGTTGGTGTTGAGGTTGGGGCTCCCAACAAGCCACTCTGGGCAGAAGGTCATCCAGTCGCCATACAGCTCGCACACGCACAGGGTGATCTGCAGGAAATGCCTGTTAGAGAGAAGGAAGCCAGGGATGAAACTATGAGCTCGGCACAGCCTGGCATCCTAAATCACGATGTCTTTTCTTTAAAACAGTATCAACACAGTCTTCACTACAGAAAACCTCTCTGAAGCCATGTATGTACTGCTCTGAGTACATGTATGTACTCTCAGGTGCCATGTATGTACTGCTCTTTCCACAGGGCTAGTCATGAAGACTCATTCTTTCCTCGGAGAAGCAACATTGCCCTTTCTAGAAGATTATTCTTAGAGTTAAATAAGGACTCTCAGGTATCCTGGCCTATTCTTGGGAAGATTCAGTAAGGTTACACCTGAACCAGCAAAGAGAGACCTCAATGTAAATCTCGCCATGAGCTACAATTTCACCCATCATAAAAGAGAATAATAGCACCTTCCTCAAAGAATTTTTGCAGGGATTAAATGAGATATGTAGGTAAAGGACCAAGCACTGTGCCTGGCACACAGGAAGTGCTCAACAATACAAATATTATAAATGTTTGTAATAATAAACACAAAGGTGCATGTCATAAATCTACATCTGTGGTCATGAGCCAAAAATATGTCAAGGCACCAAAGAGAAATTTAATTTTTATGGCCAATTATCTCTATAAAATTGAGTAGGGAAAAGTGAGTTAAATGACCTTTGAAGCCTCTTTCAAATTTGAAAGTTTTTTGGTTTTTTTGTTTTATAGGCGAGGTCTTGCTGTGTGGCCCAGGCTGGAGAGCAGTGGCTAGTCACAAGCACAATGCTAGTGCACTATACAGCCTCGAACTCCTGGGTTCAAGCAATCCTCCTGCCTCAGCCTCCTGAGTAGCTGGGACTACAGATGTGTACCACCACACTCGGCTCAAATCTGGGGTTTTAGGATGAAGCTTTAAAAAAGACTTCTTCAATACAATATAGTGAAGAATGAATGCACTTGAGCCTACTAGACGTTGTTTTAGGGAGTCACCCCCAGGATTGCAATCTAGTTACCCCATGTCATTTTGTCCCTAAGAAGGAGAGAAAAGAAAAGGGAGGGAGGAGAGTTTAGAGTCTTTTAGGGTTTGACTGATAGGATGGCTAATTTTTCATCTTTCTCCTTCTGCCCATCCTCTGCCTGCCCTAAACCCTCCACAGTCTGCTTCTGAAAAGATTTCTTATTTATCTTGCATGTCTAGCTCAGAATTATATAAGTGAATTTACTTTGTGTCAAGTGGCATAGGAGTTTTCTAGAGTGATTTTGGAAAAAAAGGATGGAAATATTATCCTTTAATTCTCCAAAATCTTGGTGGCAAATCATCCAATAGTGCTAACACAGTGACTGGGCTTTTACTAAAATCATATTTCTCATAATTTTGATTCTGAAAAGTCTGAAGTTATCCTGGTATCACTATGATCCTTATCTAATATCAAACAATTTTCATTTCTACTCGATCTTTTATCTAACAAATAAATGTGGTCATAACCTACTCCAATGTCACCTTGGTGTTGGGACAGCTAATGTTTCCCCTCTTTCCAGCAGGATAGAAGAAGTGCACTTACCGATAAGGTTTCTCTTTGACTATGGCATAAATGAGGAACAATGCCAGAAATCCATCAAGGACGGCGGTCAGAATTTCCACAGACACAATGGTTGGATCAAAATTAAGCCACCTTGCATCGGCTTTGCCATATTCTTTCCCTAAAGACAAAATCCATGTAGTTACTTAAATGCCAACCATTTTTGTGACAGTCAATGGAAATGACCTTTTTTCTTTTAAGGAGGGATAGGATCATCTCTCTCTCCACCACTCTCTCTCCATTCATCACGATACCTTAGTGGATGGTAAGGAGAAACCTTGGGACTAGAATGTATTCACTACCCAACACAGTAGTAAAAATAATGTCAGGTTTTATTTATACAATAACTTACAGTTTCCAAAGTGATTTTGCATATACGCCCTCCCTCATCCCTGCTCTGTTCATTATGATCACCCCCCGGCAAATTCTTAAGTTACATTCAACTAGTCCTTGATTTTGCAAAGGCAACTCCTTTTTTTTTTTTTTTGAGACAGAGTTCACTCTTGTTGGCCCAAGGCTAGAGTGAGTTGGCCGTGGCGTCAGCCTAGCTTCAGCACCTCAAACTCCTGGGCTCAACCAATCTCCTGCTCGCTCAAGTTAGTCGGACTAAGGCATTGTGCCTGCCGGCTCTTTTTTTTCTATATATATATTGGCCATTCTCTTCTTTCTTATTTATTAGTGAGACGTGGGTCTCATCTTGCCTCAGGCGGTTTCGACACTCCCTGACCCACACGCCTCGACATCCGCCCGCCTAGCTCCAGAGTGGCTTAGGATTACAGGCGTGAAGCCACCGCCGCCGGCTTGCAGAAATCTTCTAAAATAATTTTGGTTGCGCACTGCACTCAGCGTCGGCCAGACAGGGACCTCTATCTCTAAATTAAAAAATACTGATGATCTTTATAAATGCATTCTACATTTTTACTTCAAATTTCATTTAAAGTCTATAAATATAAGTTTATATTTTATTTATTTTTCTTTTTGAGACAGAGTCTCCTGTTGTTCCAGGCTAGAGTGAGTGCTGTGGCCAGCCTAGCTCCAGCACGTCATGGCTCAAAGCAATTCCTTCTTGCCTCAGCCTCCGAGGTAGCCTGGGCTACCGCATGCGCACGATGCTGGCCTAACTTTTTTTTCTATATATCATTGAGTTGGCCACTTATTTCTTCTCTATTTCCTTTTTTATAGTCGAACGGGGTCTCGCTCTTCATCAGCTTGTTTGGAACTCTGACCTCGCGCAATCGCCGACCCCCTCTCGCTCCCAGAGTGCTAGGATTAACAGGCATGAGCAACCACACTGGACTGTAAATATATTTAAGATTGGGACAAATTGTTAATTAAGGAATATTAATTAAACATGTTTAATCTTTATTTATTTATAATTTTTTAGAGATGGAAGTCTTGCTGTGTTGCGAGGCTAGAGTGCGAGTGGCCTCATCATCAGCTCACTACAGCCTCAAATCTAGGCTTCACGCGAATCTTCTGCCTCAGCTCCAGCTGCTGCAAGCTACAGGCACTGCCACCCACCTGGCTAATTTTCTTTTTGTAGAATGAAGTTTTGATTTCCGCTGGTTCAAACTTCTGGCCTCAAGAGATCTTCCCATTTGGCCTCCAAATGCTGGGATGCAGGTATGGCAATGTGCTCCATATATTATTATATTATTGTAACTGAAGAGAATTTGTGAAGGAGCAGGCGAGAGGAGAGCAGGAGAGAGTCTGGATACCTAGACTCCTAGAAACTGCCTTAGGACTCTGCAGGGCATCAAAATGCCCTCGTTTTTGTTCTTTTGCGAAGCTGATTGAAGCTGATTTCCATCCTCTTAGAGTTTCTATCTTGGTTTGGAAAGGAGGTCCCATAGATCCTGCTGGAGCGATTAAATTTTAGAGTCATGCAGAAATGCAGCTTAACCACATGCAAAATTTCAGAAGCAAAATGTGAAGCAGCCTATCCTTACCAGGTCTCTTATAAAAGTGGAGGCGCGCGGTGGCTCCCGCTGTAACTCCTAGCCTTTCGGGAGCGAGGCGGCGGTATCGCTCACAGCGTTAGGAGTAGTCCGAACGCTGAGCGAGACCGTTTCTACAACAATAGAAAGATTAATTGACAACTAAAAATATACTCAAAAAATTAGCCGGCATGGTGGCGAATGCCTGTTAGCCAGCTACTCGGGAGCTTGGAGGCAGGGATCCGTGGAGCAGGAGATTGAGGTTGCTGTGAGCAGGCCTGATGCACGGCAACTCCTCTAGCCTGGGGCAACAAGCTGAGCCTCTGTTTCTCAAAAAAAAAAAAAAAAGTTGCAAAATGGCCAAGGTCACTCGCTCATCCTTGTAATCTCAGCTTCTTGGGAGGTTAAGGTAGGAGGATTGCTTTAGCAGGACGTTTGGGCTACGCATGTGGAGACCATCCTCTACCAAGAAACAAAAACACAGCTGGCAAAGGACCTTGGATGCACAGCGTCCATTTATTTGTCAGATATTGACATAGTTTTGGTAGATGTCTGATACTAATTACTGAATGTTATTTGATTAATACTGAGCTGGCAGCTGGGGTGGCTCTGCCTATAATCTTGCACTCTGGGAGGCCAAGGCAGGAGGACACTAAAATGAAACAACTTACATGGGTACTCATTCCAGATCTAAGCGCAACAGTGATCATAGCACATTATTTTTCCTGGTTAGAGCTGGAACCATACTACTAGTTGGTATCCCAAGATGGACAAAGCATATATACTCCGCTGGTAATTATGAGCAGCACCTAAGTGGACCATAGGTACTACAAGTCAATAGGGTATCTGGGCAAGGTGGGAGGGGGAGGGGGCGGGTATATAATACAATGACTGGAGTGTCAACATTGTGGGGGATGGTCTGCTGGAGACTCAGATTGTGGGGGAGGGGGGAAGGGCTTTACTGAAACTTAACTCTGTACCCCTAATACTGGCCTGAATAAAGCAAAAAAAGGAAAAAAATTCAGCGGAGTGTGGTGCACCTGTGTCAGCTTCAGGAGGCTGAGCAGGGTGGATTGCCTGACGCCGGGAGTTTGAGGTTTGCTTGTTGAATAGGCTGACGCATGGCACTCACTCTACTGGCACAGAGCGAGATCTTTTTCTTTTTCTTCTTTTTTAAATAGCCTAAGAAGAGACGTAACCTAGATTCAGATATCATATTCTTCCTGCAGAGCAGAACTTTAGAAATTTCTCTAAAGAGTGTAGACATATTATAAGACAATGATATTAAGTATGAAATAACGTTTAATGCTCGCAAGCTTCTCTGCACTTACTCTTTTTACCCTCTTCTTACTACTTTACTGCGCTGAAATTTCCCTGCGTACACATGCTACTGTTTCAAGCTGGCGTCTTCCTCATTATTTCACGCTTTGCCACAACGACTCCTACATTAGCAACATTCTACTATGCCTCCTAAAGAACTATAGGACCATGGCAGTCTTCCCCTTTTCTCCCACCCCCTCCCACAGCCTAGGCACCCTGTATTTTGTCTCTACGATTTCTTACTCTGGCCCTTTCTCTATAACCTTGAAATCATGATCCACACCTGCTGATCCCGGATCTCATTTGACTGCGCACTATGCATCTCATTCAAACATCTTCTCAATGCCATGTCTTTTTCACTATCACTCAACGAAGCCAATCAGCACCTCAGCAATTGCATGTTTCCTACCAAAGAAAGTAGACAAAGGCCCTTCCTAGGAAGAAAATGAAGCAATGCTCTTAGGTTTAGCACGCCCCCCACAGGATGGCACTGCAGACCATGGCACCTTGCATGGCAAACCCTGCCCCCGCCAGGTGTCCATCCGGGTCAACGCCGGCGTCACACACTTGTCGGATGCAAACCTGGAGCTTGGCCTACTTGGGCCTCTTGGAGCATGGCTCAGCTCCACGGCCGCGCTTCCAATGCTACGTATCTTATGTTATTCTCTAACATCGTGATTCGGCATCTATACAAAGCAGAGATGTGTTTCTTATGTGAAAAATAAGTAAAAATTTTTCACAAGGCGAAGAGTTTACCTGTCTGTTTAAAAACATTTTCTGGATCATTCCAGGTCTTTATTGGAGAGAGCTCCAGCCGTTTCTTATTTAACCTCAACAAATCCAAGCACTAATCTCTCAAAAATGCGCACTCGATCGTCTTATTCAGCAGTTGGAGTCTACCCTCCCATTAAGGCATTCGGAACATTTTGGTTCCAGCTACTTTTAACTTTAGTATACATCTCCATCTCATGTACACATTTCTCATCTGAAGTGTTCTTTCTTCCTACAGAATGTCAAAATTAGCACACTTAGAAACCTGATTTCTCATTGTCATGTGCTCTTGATAAGTGTTGTTTGCTTGTCATAACGCTTTTATTCTCACTGATCTTTTTTTTTGCAGACAGGCCTGTTTGTTGCCCCACGGCAGGAGTATATTGGGCGGAACTTTAGCTCACTGCAGCCTTTGCAAATTCTGGGCTTCAAGTGAATCCTCCGACCACTGGAACTACGGTGTGTACCAAGCTGGCTTATTTTTCGTTTTTTCTTGCGATGGGCTTCTGCCTGTTCCCAGGGCTGGTCTAATCTTGCTTAAGTGATCTTCACGTTGGTTTTCCCATGGAGGACGGTGTGTGCACTGCCCCAGCTTTTTTTTTTTATAACCAAAGGCATCTCCTATATGCTCTTAAACGTATGTCTCCTCCTCTGCTTCACGTTCAGTCACCCCTTCCAGAGGTTCCATCTAACACGTCTGCCCTGTAATTTGGGGATTCCTTCCTCCATCCCTGCTATTCGCTTCTGCTCGCTGACAGTTAATTTTAGTTGATACCTCTCCTCTTTCAGTCTTCAGGTTTTTGCAGCTTACATTATTCTTCTATTAGTTTCCCATTTGGTAATTAAATCTAACCTGAACCTCAAGCTCCCTCATCACCAACGCGCTGCTCCTGGACCGTCTTCCATGAAGAGAGCCCAGCGCCTCGTGGCTCCTCCCATTCATCCAACTGTCACTTCCGCTTGCTTGTCTGACGATCGATTCATTCCATCCTCTTCTGAACATATTCGTTCGTCCTTTTTATTCAGTGGATTCTAAAACGACAAGTCAATTGACGCATCTCAACTTATTGTTGGTGGTGCAACACTGTTCCTT